GAACTTACCTCAGAGCAGGCCAAATGTCGGACGTTGGTGAACCAGTCGACGTGCGCGCGACAATGATCAAACGCGTGAACGAGCTCGTGGGTGACCACTCTGCTCATGTGGGCCTGGTTACGGATATTATTCTGGCACAAAACAATCTAAGAGGCACCGAAACAAGAGAGGTTCCATTATCTCTAAAGTCTCCTCTCATCTCGTGGATTCCACCTTCTCTCTCACCTGAGGGGCTCCTCCGCTTGGAGTGCCTCCACCCTCTTGTCTGCAAACCCCACACCAACCCATCCAGCCGGGCCTGGTCCTAACCGAACGGGCCCCGTTGAGCCTTCCCCAGTGCCTCACTTCCCCTTCTCTGCTCTCTGGACTTCCGCAGCACTTGGCTTAGGGACATTTATTCACATACCATCCTCACTGGGTTCACCGTACCAGTCTGTCCTGGGCTCCACAGCCTTACAATTAAGAGCGGACTTTGGAATGAAGCAGGGAGGTTCAGACCCCAGCTAGGCCCCTCTCTAATTCAGCGACCTTGGGCAAGGTTCTTAGGCTTTCTGTGCCTCAGTTTCCTCAACTACAAAAAGGAAACAATCAAAGCATCCACCTTATAGAATTATGAGAATTAAATGAGAATACATGTAAAATGCTCCTTATCAAGTATCTGAATGAGGAATGAATCAACAATGAATGACCACCACTGTCCCATTCTACTAGGATTGCCAGGAAAAGTCCTCGGAAAGACCTTCAGAAAGAAGTGCAAAAAGCCAACAGCACACGGGGCAGGACCCTATAAGAATAATACAGACGTGAGGGATCCTAATGATAATAGTTACCACTTACTGTGAATTTACTGTGTGAAGATGCTAGGATATGTGCCAGATACTTTATAAACATTCATTCAACATTCATTTACTTGACTAATATTTACCCAGACCTATTAGATTTATCATCTGCTAATGGAGATAGACATTAATCAAATGTGTAAACACGTGCAATGACAGCTGTCACAAAGAAAAAGCCAGCCTGTCAGGAGTACATACAGTGAGAGTGCCCGACCCGCTCTGGAGGGTTGGGAAAGGTTTCTCTGCAGAAGGAATGTGAGAACTGGGCTCTAGCGGATGAATAGGAGTTACATTTGCAGAGAGGGGAAGAGAGCATTCCAGACAGACAGAACAACATGTGCAACAGGGAGGGGGACGGCCGAGGGAACAGAGCATTTGAGGAGCTGAAAGCAGGCCTGTAGCACTGAAGCGCAAGTTGGAGGCGGCGGGCAAGACGTTAGGCTGGTGAGGTCAGCGGGGGCCAAATCATTTTTCTGACAACAGTGGGAAGTCACTGAAAGGAAGTGGTGAAACAGGTGTGTTTTTGTTTCATTTTGTTTTCACCCTTTTGACCACAGTTGGAAAAATAAGCAAAAGATGATCAAAACTGGAAGCAGAGAGACTAGTTGAAGGCAAAGGAACTATTCTAGACAAGAGATGACAGTACACAAGCTAGGATGATGGGAGCCTTAAAAGGTATTTAGGAGACAGACTGGACAAAATTTGGTGATGGATAGAATATGGGAAGGGAATCAGAGGTATCAAGGATGACCCCTAAATTTCTGGCTTGGGTAATAGGATGAAGAATGGCACCATTCACGGAGATACACAAAACTAAAAGACCAGGTTGGGCAGGGATGGAGGATGGTAAAAATCACCAATGTGGACTTGGACATGTCAGGTCTGAGGTGTCTGTAAGACATCCAAGTGTAGGTGTTCAGTGAACACCCTGGCCATGTGGATGTGGCATTCCAGAGAGCTCTGACCTAGAAAAGTGACAGAGGTCCCCTTGGCAGAGCACAGAGCAAGAAGAGAAGAGGGTCTAATAGCAAGGGTTATGGGACTTTGACATGTAAGGGCTGGCAGAGGAAGGTGAGCTAGCAAAGGAGCAACCCCGAGAGTGTTGTACACAGGAAACCAAGGCAAGAAACTGGCATCAGCTGTTAAAGTCAGGGGTACGCATGTGATGTGATCCCACAACTCCACTCCAGGTGACTCCGAGGAGCAGCTCTCACCCACATGCACCAGGGGAGAAGGCGAAGAACACTCATGGCAGCGCTGTTCACAATCACAAAGTTGGAAGCAGTCGGTATTAGACGGGCTAACCTCTAGTACAGACATAGCACGGAATAATACACAACAGTGAAACTAAATAAACCAGAGGGACACACAGCACAGAAGAACCTCACAATGTTGAACAAAAGAATTAAGTTGAAGACTATATCTTCTGGGATTTCATAAAATGACAAAGTATCATGTATGACTCTAAGTACAAAGCTGAAAAGCAGGCAACTAAATAACACGTTGCCGGACTGTATACAGAGATGCTAAGACCACAGAGAGGCAGGGGATGATTATCACGGAGGTCAGACTCAGGAAGGGCGGACGAATGTGATCCAAGCAGGCAACACAGGCTTCTGAAGTCCTGGCAATGTTCCATTTCTCAAATCTGGGTGGCGGTTACACAGATGTTCATTTTATTATTATGACCGGGAGCGCACGTCTAGGTTTTTTTTACTCTTCTATATGAATGAGATACTTCACAACAAAATTTTTAATTTAAAAGAGAAGAACAGAGTGTCCAACTGTGTGTAACACTGCTGAGAAGTAAGCTGAAGATTCAAAGCGTCCACTCTATTTAAGCCCAGAAGGGGATGAAGCTACCACGACTCACCCTGGGAGCGGCAGGTGCTGTGATTATCGACTGACAAATGAGGAAGCTGAGAATAAGACAAACCACTTGCCTGAGCCCCACCGCTAACAAGCAGGGGAACCAGGATTTGAACTCACAGTCTGCCTGACTCCAGCACTCAGACGTCCCAGCCCTCTGCTGTAGCGCTCTCTCCCATGCTCACTGGGAAACAGCTACGCACAATCAAAGTGCACATAAAATCCCCCAGCATGGAACAGTTAGGTGCAGTCAAACACCTGTTACATATTCATAACAGAAACGGTTCCTTGTAACACTTTCATCTACCCTCATCACGTGACACATCCATCTACCCCTCAAGACTCTATCAAAACCCTGAGGGACTTAAGACTAGTAATAACATTTATTGAATGCTCACTCTGCTTACTATGGTAAGCACTTTACAAGAGAAATCTCATTTAATTCTCATAACCATTCTGTAAGATAGATACAATTATTACCCACATTTTACGGATGAGAAAACACCCTCCCCTCATCAACAGTCTTCAAAGGTGTATCACTTCTCACCAGGCAAAGGTGAAACTCTTTAGCTTAGCCTTCAGAGCCTCCCAGCATACAGCTATCTTTCTTTCCAATCCTGCCTCTCCCTGCTCCCCTGCATCCCTGCCCTCCAGCTGGACTACACCACACGCCGCTCCCCACATACACCCTGTGCGCTCCCAGCACGTCACCTGTGTTCATGCTACCCCTGCTTTGGGCAACAGTCTCTGCCCTCTTTGCCCCTGAAGAGGCTTTACATCCTCTAGCCGAATCTACTGGTATCTTTCAGTCAATCACGTCACTGTCCCAAATTGGTAACCACACCCATCTAAGAGTTTAACCTGCCTCGATTTTTATCACTGTCTGCATTTATGTCTTGGCTCCCCCGTAAGAATGCAAGCGCCTTAAGAGTAAGGATCACACGACCTCATTTTTTGAATCCCACACAAAGTCCACCGAACAGAATGCCCAGCTTGTGGAAGGCGCTCAGCAAATATCAGGAGGGAAAACCGGAGGAAAGAAAGCAACTCAAGTAAAGTGCCTACCTGAGACACTGAAGCGTCAAAGCCTCCACTGACATTCCCATTACAATCTTCACAAGAAAAGTGCCTTTCTTTGTTAACAGCACTAGAAGGCAAGAATGGATTAGAGAGACAACATCCAGAAGTGGGGTGCATGGGGCACAGGGGACCCGGATCCTACATCCCTCCACTGCTGCCACATATGACACCTTGGGAAAGCAACTTAACACCTTCAGGACTCAGGTCTCTCGTCTGTAAAATGAGGTAACTCTTTCTGCAAACTCTATCCCAGTTCAAATTCTATGCCATGATTCCATAAAGCATTTGGTCGACTAATTAAGACTGTACTGGAAATACACTGGAGTATCTGCCCTCGGGCCAGAATGTTAAGTAGTGGACCTCAGAAGTCACTCTTCTGATGCTCTCGAAGTTAACACACCTGGAAGGCTCCTGCACACATAACAAACTGAGATTTCTTCCCCACTAAGGACAGTGCTGGGGGTGACATGGTGGAAGAGCCAGGTTTGGTAATTACTTACAAGGAAATGTTAAGTCCTGTCTTTCCTAGATACCC